CCAACACACCTGTGCCCACACCCAGGTTGTGCCTTTCAGAGCTGCCCGTTTGCACTAAGAAACACACTGTGGACCCAGCCAGATAATCCATGGATGCATCATGGGCTCAGTCAACATGGACTCAGTCAGCGTCAGAGTAGGCAGCCCGATGATCCTGACTGCTGGTGGCATTAAAGGCGACAAGCAGACAATTCCTCTCTGCTGGGAACAAGCACCTCAGACTCTCCAGGGCCAAGGCTACCCCCTCTCCAGAGACCCAGACTCTACCAGAGTCACACTGGGCATGAGTACCTTCCTGTGCTCACGTCACTTTGCATACCTGTACACAGGACATCGCTAGAAGGAATGTATATCACGTGTCATATGATTACCACTAGAGAACAAGGAATGTGGCTGAGGGATGGAGAATGGCTTTTTCCAATCTGACCACTGTAATGCAAACCACTCTTTTAGAAAATACAAACGGAACTGTTGCAGCCCTCCTTTGCTGAGCCAGGCACCCCGTTAAGGTGGGCATACAAAGCTAGGCAGCAAGGCCCTTGCCACTGAGCTTGGTGGTGGTAAAAGGCAAGAAAAGTGGGATATGCTCATGTAAATGCCCCTCAAGGGCCTCTGGGAGGTCAGGGTAGGTCAGGATGCTGCTCGAAAAGGAGCAAGGTAAGCGCCAGGGCTGGGAAATGGTTTGGGCATTCCCCAAGGCTCATGTGTGGGAATTTAATCCCCACTGTGCTATTAAAAAGGTGGAAACAACCCCGCCATAGTGCTTGCAGGAGGGCCTCTAGGGTGCAATTAGGGTTAGGTAAGTCCACCAGGGTGAAGCCCCCATGAGTGAATACCAGTGTGGCTTACATGGTGGAGAAAGCAGAGGACTCTTTTCATGTGACGCTTTGTGTAACTTTAGGACTCTGCCAAAAGCAGGTCCTTACAATCTCCAAAACTACAAGCTAAATAAATCCTTTATTTTGCAAGTCTCATTATGTTACACAGGCTGGCCTTGAACTTGGGTCCCCACCTCTCTCTTGCCTCAGACCCCTGAGCAGCTAGGATTACAGCTGTGCACCACTGCATAAAGCACACTCTTTTCTTTATTACCCAGCCTCAGCTGTTTAATTATAGCAATGCAAAACAGACTCATACAGCATGTGAAGGAGTCTGGCTGCCACCACCCTAGGAAGCTTCTTCCACCCCCGCTCCAGATGTGTAACCACAGGGTTAAAGAGGCCCAGCAACCCCGGCTCACTCTAACTCCCATTTTTCAGCCTTGCTCCTGGAAGACCACCACCACTCAGCACTGTGTTCTCAGGCCTTGTTCCTGGCAGGGAGCTGTAACTCCTTTCTGCTGAGCTCACCTCCTTGAAGGTCCCACTTTGACCTTTGCCTTTCATAGGCCCTCTTTATGCTCATGATGCCGTAACAGGCCTCACAGCCTGTACCAGAGCTTCCAGTGGGATGTAAGTGTCAGGGTGTTCCCTCTCAGGTTTTTTCTGAAATAAGCTGGCCTACTGAACTTATACTTTGTTTCCTCCTTTTTCCCTAAGCAAAGGCAAAGAGACACAAAAGAACCCAGCAGTCAAAGAATGGCATGGAATTGGCATGGCTGGGGCTGAGGGTATCAGGAGGCAAGGCCTGGGGCCCTGGGCTTGCAGATAGGGCAAAGGGGCTGAATGTCACCTTAAAAACAGTCACTGAGCTGGGTGTTGTGGTACATGCCTACAGTCCCAGCACCCAGGTTTAAATAGAGGGCTGCTCCAAGTTTGAAGTCTGCCTAGGCTACGTACTGAGTTCAAGACCAGCCTGCTACATGTGAGAAACTTGTCTCAAAAAAAAAAAAAAAAAAAAAAGGCCAATGAGGGGCACAATCAGTGTGCACTTTGGAAAGGCAATCTGAGCTTTAATGGATGAGTGGACAATATAACAGAGAGGAGCCAGCCAGGAGAAAATCAACCAGAGTCCAGGAGGCAATCAACCAGAGTCCAGGAGGCAGACACGGGTCAAGAAGTGGAAGGCCCAAAACGAGCTATTAGGTGAGACAGCCATGAGGTCACTGCGGACACTGCTGGGAGTGTTCAGGAGGCGAGGATGGCGGGGAGAAGACAGCAGGTGGAAGCTGCCAACAGATTGACAGCCCAGAATGTTAGACGGCACAGGACCAGTGAGTGTAAAACCAAAGCAGATCAAAATCTACAAATCAAAAGAAAGTTGCTGACTTTTTAATTTTGCCAGGTAAAGGCAACTCTTAGAAATGGTCATGTATAGTTCCTATCATTTAATAAAGGGACACCTTTACCATCCTGTGAACAGAAGCACCTAATGTTCAATAGAGATGGTCACGTGAGTGGAGTAAGTTTAGCTGGAAGCTCTTCACATCATCTTTTTTTCTTGTTTCATCATGGATTATAGTCACAGACTGATGATGCCAGTTTGCTGAATGTGAAATGCTGTGCAAACTACTTTTAAGAAGAGAGTGTGGGTAAGAACAGAGTTAAGAGGTTTCTGTCAGTATGAGCTGGCGGTATGGCTGGGGTAGGGTGAGTTTGGCATTCATGAGGCTCTGGGTTCCATTCCAGCACTGACTTCAGCAACAACAAAAGGTCTTCTATTATACAGAGAGAGGGGTAAAAATGTGGCAGCCTTGCATGGTGGTACATGCCTGTAATCCCAGCCCCTGGGACAGGAGGATCATAGTGAATTTGAAGCCAGCTCGGGCTACTTACTAGCTTCATGGCCAGATGAACTATACAGTGAGAACCTGACTCAAAAATACAAAAGAAAAATTATGAACTAAATGCAATGTAGTAACCTAGACTTTTAAAAAATTTTATTTTAAAGAGAAAAAAAATAAAAACAAAGATACAGAATTTCAAAAACAAGATAATAGGAAATTGACTGGTTAATATATTGTATAGTTATCGTCAAAACAGTTGCTCAGATTATAAAATATAGATGTGCATAAATGATCAAATATAAGCATGAATGACTTTTTCAATGAACTAAATCAGTAGTGTAATTATCTTAGCAATTTTGTGTGTATATATTTTTTTTCTTTTTCTTTCTTTCTTTTATCCTTTCACCCATCCCAGCTGTTCTTTGTTTTTGAGCTGTTTCATTCCCTTTCACAATATCTACTACAGATTTTGGGTCTTATTAACTTTTTTAGTTTCTTACACTAGGGATACAATATGATGCTTACACATGTGGTCCTAGTCTATTTCACTTACAAATATGGACTCTAGATGCACCCATTTACTTATAAAAGCCTTCAGTTCATCGTTCACAGCTGCATAGCACTCCATTATATATTTTAAAATCCATTCCTCTGTTGATGGGTATTTGCTTTGTTTCCAAGATCTAGCTATTGAAATTGTGCTGCTATAATCATGGGTGCACAAATATTGCTGTGGTAAGATGTTTTTCATTCACCTGGGAAAATACCCAGAAGGAGGATAGCTGGGTTGAATGGGACCTCCTATCCTACTTTTTAAAATCTCCACACTGATTTCTACAATATTAACCTAGATTTGATCTTGAAGCAGTAAATAAGAGCTACTGTAAAAAACCAATGACATTCTATACTTACATTTTAGTTGATAGTACTGTACTCATGTTAATTGTTTGGCTACAGTCAATGCTCCATGGTTATGTAAGACCTTAACTCCAGGGAGGTTGGCTGAAGGGAACAGCTAACTCTGTGTTACCCCTGCAACACTTTCCCAAGGCTCAAGCTATACATAGAAAGTTTAAAATAACCACAGTAACACAGCAGGGAAAGGAGGTGAAGCCCTGAAATATATGTAGGTAGCACTGACCCTGAAAGGGAGTCAAGCTCTTCCTCCTGAGATTAGAAAAAAACAGTTGTCTGTGGACACAATAATTGGATAGAAAGACAGGCAGGGTGAGTGGCAGGCAGTGCGGAGGCTGAGGCAGGACTGTGGAGAATTTGAGACCAGCCTGGCTTACACAGTGAGTTCAAGAGCAGTCTGAATTACAGAGCAATACCCAGTCCCAAAAAAATCAAAAGCACAACAAAGAAAATCCATAAAATCCACAATACAGTCCAAAAAATAGCATTTAAAAAATAATGAAAATAATTCATAAATGAAGGGACATAGCAGGTAAACGCAGCAGATAAAACTTTAGTTCAACCACAAAAATAAATGGTAAACATCCCGAGCCAGATCCCACCTTTGAGTAACTCTACTCTGCCAGCATGCTGAGGGCTGAAACCAGCAACCTAGAAAAGTTCGTAGCACTGGGAAAACCATGGAGCTCACTTTTCAAGACTGCACTGAAATGACGGCAGGGATCTCTCATCCTGCTGCTCCTGTGCCAATGGTGGTGTCTAGAGAAAGTGAGCACTCAATAAACGATCACTGAAACAAATGCAGAAAGTACGCTGGGCGTCTAGTTCAGTAGCAGAGCCCTTATTTAGCTTAGCACGTGCGAGGCCTTGGGTTTGACTCCTAGCTCTTCAAAAAAGGAAAAAAAAAATGTAAAGAACACATATTACAATAAATGCCACAGCTTACATCAAGTGCTATAGCAGACAGAGCTGCAAGGTTTGGAGGCAGGTGTACAGTTTCACTGAGGCCAGTGGCCCGACTGGGATCGCCCCCCAAGAGTCAGGCCCTGATTTCTCAGTGAGCAGGTTTTTATAGGGTTTGCAAGCAAACAGGAGTACCTCAGCAGAGTGCCCACTATCAACCCATGAGACAGACATGGAGTCTTACCTTCTTTACATAGGGTGGTAACAAGCTGGAGGGACGTGGTCAGGAGTTTACATTGCTGGAGGTATGTGATTGGTCAAGAGTTTATATTATGTTTTGCTTATTTTACATATGGCAGGAAAAAGGTTCTGGGGAAACAGAAACTTTTCAGAGAACAGACACGTATCAGAGAACAAAGGTTTATTGAAGTGCTGGAGCTCCCAACTGGGACCAAGGGTGTTTTCTGCTTTACATATGTGGAAAAATCTGTATCCACACACAATAATTGAGGGTTACCTTTGCAAATCTCCGTGAAGTTAGAGAAAGCCTGGCCACATCCTCAAGATCCAGGTAAGCAATGATGTGCAGGAGCAGACTGTCTGAGAGCCGTTCCAGGAAGTCGAATTTACCTTTGCACAGGTTGAAGACATAGTCTAATGTTCTTCTACCAAATACTAGGGCAATCTGAACTGTAAGTCAAAGAAACCAACACAGTTATCATATGCACGCATCTAAAAAAATGTAAAAGTAACAATAAAAAAAAAAATTGGGGCATCTTTCCCCCCTTGGTTGGTGGGGGGAGCATAATCACTAGATTATGCTTAGTGAGTCCTCCAGCCACCAAGCTGCCTTTGGGACTAATGTCATGAAAAAAAACTATTCTTTTTTGAGACAGGGTCTTGCTATGTAATTCAGGTTGGCCTCAAATTCATGAGATCTTCCTGCCTCTGTCTCCCAGAATGCTGGTACTGCAGGTGTGTATCACCACGCCCAGCAAATGGTGAATTTTGAAATGTGTGCCACTGGATTACCAATGATTTCCAAGAGAGGTGCTGGGACAAGGAGATGAGCTCTGTTAGAAAGCTGGCCAACCGGGGCTGGGGATTTAGCTCAGCGGCATAAGTGCCTGCCTTGCAAGCAGGCAGTCATGAGTCCGATCTGAGATAAAAACAAAAAAAAAAAAGAGAGCTGGCCAACCAAGTGACAAGGCCCGCATTGCAAAGCCTACTGCAGATGGAGACACCCTCTTCCAGGGTCAAGGCCATCCTCAAGGGTAGAAAATCTCTCCATACTATGTGTCCATGGCCACATTCAGAATAGCACCTCTGGATGGAGGGTTTGGCATTAAAAAGAGCCAAGGGTTAAAGAGAGGGCTGGATTCCTGAACTCCTACAACCTAGACAACAAACATCAGATTAAATCCCATCATTTCAGCAGGCACCTTATTTATGCACCCCAAGTGTAAAGGCAGGAGCTGACACTACAAGAGTAAGCTGAGCTATAACCTAGTGCTGACAGCAGAGGATCATCAAATCAAACTAAAAAGTGTAAAAAAAAAAAAAAAATCTCCCCTCCTGTTACACATCCTATTAATTGGCTTTATCATATATCCCTAAATAGGGACATCAAATCCATCTGGCTACTTCCACCTGGATGGGGGAGTGGAAAGGGTGTGAAAAAGGATGAACAAATTAACTTGAACAAAACATCCTTCTCTGGTCTCTGATTAGAAAGCACTTTTCCTTTCCTGCTTCCAGATTCCTGCTCATGCCACCTAGTATACCAGCTCTATGCTCGGAGCTTTTGCCACCCCACCAAGAGCTTTCCCCAAACCACTCAGCTGGGGTTGAGCCATGGATGATGCTTGAGAGTGGGGCTGGTTGAAAGAGAAAGTATTCCTATGTCCAAGTTGACCTAGAGCCCCATGTTTGGGGCACTGAGTAATCTCAGTGAGAGATGTTTTTCCGAAAGGCTTCTTTTTTTTGTTTTTACCAGTAACAGGGATTGAACTCACGACTACCTGCTTACGAAGCAGGTGCTTATGCCACTGAGCTAAATCCCCAGCCCAGAAAGGCTTCTCTTAATCAGGTATGGTGGCAGATGGCTGATGCAAGAGGATCTCAAATTTCAGCCTGGCCTGTGCAATTTAGTGACTGATCAAAACCATATCCCAAAAATACAAAATAAAAGGTATAATGGTTGATAAGAGTTTTTTTTTTCTTTTTCAAATCCATTTTATTCAAATATAAAACAAAGAAAAAACTACAATAAAATTTCAAAGCACATCAATCGGGGGCTAACATGGAACATATATTGTATATTGTCATTCCCAAGTCATTCAAATGGTTGATATACTGTGTGAATTTAAGAAAAGGCTTAACTAAGTGGCTCAGCAGTTCTACATCCTAAGGTGTAAAGGACCTGCTCTGGGGCAGGCAGCCTGCATACCGTGTAAGGGAGGAAAAGTGCTAGTTCTTCCTTTTTGCCCTTGTTGCTTTTCCTGTCTTCTGCTGCCTTGAACTACTGACCCCTCAGCCAGGCTACCCTACCTTGGAGCCAGCAGATTACGGATTGAAACCTCCATGAACTGTGAGCTAAATAAATCTCTCCTTCCTTCATTTTGGGCATTGGGTATTTTGTCTCAGCAATGAGAGAAAAGTAATTAACACAAAATGGCTGAGTAAGCAATCAATCACAAAGGCCCTATGTTCTATCCACAGTACTGGGAGTTGGGGGGAAAAAAGCTTACCATTTTGTATGTCTTGTACTAACAACTATACCTTCATCCAGTCGCCTCCCTGTAAGAGGACACCCAGTACTGCAGCCCTTAAAAGTTCTGGGACAATGACAGTAACACCCAACTAACACGCACCCTTTCTTGAACCACCAATGTACTGTTTAACCACAATCTAAAAATTGCTTTTCTTGGGATGATAAGCTGCTGCCTCCCATTCTAGCAGGCTGCATGTCCATTACAATGATTTATTTAAAATGGTAATGGAGATGACCAAGCCTAGAAGTGTCCCCACTGTTAGGCCTCAGTTAAGGTTGTCTCTAGGGGTAGCAATTTGGGTTCTGGGTTCTCTGCTCTATTCTTCTGGAGGAGGCAACTTGCTCTCTGGTGAACTTCTAGTATCACTAATATCCTTTCATCTGCAGTGAAGACATACTCCAGTAATCGCTGCTCCTCTGCCCAGACTGTGTTTTGTCCAACAAAAAATACCTCAGAAGTATTCCTCATTCTCTGTAGTTCATCCTTGTAGGAAGGCAATTCATTCCAAAACCTTGTAGATCTGAGAGGGAATATGAATGATGAGCCCCAAGAATCCGATTGGCTGTTCTTGCTGATTGACAGCTCCTGCTGGGTTCTGAAGCAGAGGAAACTCTGCTTCTGGACCTACAACCCTGGCCCAACTGGGTGCCCTGCTGGATCCTGGAAGGGGAGACTGGTCCTGCCTCTGGCTCAAGTTCACTAGAGGTGGGTCTGGATTATCTGCAGGGTGGGGTGAGAATTTCAATTTATTTTAGTGACTGGTGGTGCTATTGAGGCAAGATCATGTTCAGATCTTGAAATGGAGGCTCCCTCAGTAGTTGTGGCTAAGCCTTATTGTGTGGAAATTTCAATATGGGGGGAGGTCTGTTTCTCTTCCTTTCTGATGCCATGAGCATAAAATTCCCCCCCTTTTTTTCCTCATGAAGGTACATAAACGTTCTCATATAAGGACTCTCGTCTGCCTTGTCAGCCTTGAGACAAAAAAACTGCTCCAAACAGGAGATGGAATGGGGCCATCTCTCCTTGGTCCTCAACAAGCACAAAGCCCAAGCAGCACTGCAGTAATAAGTAATTTTCTTTTTTAGTTACGGAGGATGTACAATTAAGTAGACCATTTTCCTACCATTTAGGATTTCCCTAAATCCTTTTTAAAGGGCTACCAATACAACCTGTAATGGCGTTACCCATATTTTTTTCAAGAAACTGAGAAAGAAAAGATTCTACAAAGAAAAATAGAACTGACCCACACCACTGCTTAGTAACAAAGGGCGTCCCTTCCCACCACCCCTGGGTATACACGCAACCAAGGCAACCAGCTTCAAAGGGCAAAAAAGTCCACACAGTGTTGGCGGGTGGAGCACGCCTGTGGTCCCAGCTATTCAGGAGAATAGGGCAGGGGGACAGTATCATTTCAGGCGTTCAGTAACAGCCTCGGTGATGCACCGAGACATCCCTCACTCCCGTAAGGAGAAAAAAACAAAACCCACCCACATCTCAGGGACGCTGTAACAATGCCTATGCCCCATAATTATGAAGCTCGTTAAATCCGTACAAAACAATCCACAGCCTCCTGCATAGGAGCCTTGCGCAAACGCAAGACGGATTACTGAACGCGAACACGAACAGCCGATCCCGAGAGCAGCCGCCGCCTCATGTCCTCACTCCCTAGCCGCCTTCAAGGCTCTGCAAAGGGCCGCTCTGCAGCAGCGTGGCCCAGCGATCGGTCTTGTTCTCCCGCAGCCCGTCCTCGCCGCTGCGCACTCCCTCGGCCAGGCCTACTCCAGCAGATCTAGAGATCTGTCACCGAAGGCACGGAAACGGCTGTTTTCGGAAACTGGCCGACTCACCACACCAAGGGACCCACAGCCCGCGAGGACTTGGGAAACTCGCTCTTTTCCGGGTCCGTGCGTCACCCTGCGTAGGGGGCGGGTCGGCGCAGGCGCTGGCGCAGCCCACACTCGTGGGGGGGGGTCCACGCATGACGCATGCGCAGTGGACTGTAGCGGCTTTAGCATCCAAATAAGTGAAGGAAGGAACTGGCTGGTGGGCTGGCTCGGCGAGAGAATTCTTCCTAACTTTAAACCACAAGGGTCAGCTTCAATTTTAATCGCTTGCTTGATCGGTCGAGATAGGTATCAGATGCGCGAGCAAGTGCAAAGCCGGGGTGTAATTCCCGACAAAATCAAGCTTAGTTCCCATCGCTCGTCTGTCTGCACTACAAAGGCAGCCTCGAGTGCTAACCTGGTGCCAGTGTCGGTGGAAAGGAACATTAAAAGAGCAATTGGAAGCCGAGCATGGTAGCTCACGCCTGTAATCCCAGCACTGGGGAGGCTGAGGTGGGAGGATCGATGAGAGTTCCAGACCAGCCTGGGTTACAACGTGAGCTCAAGGCCAGCCTGAACTGCATAGTGAGACCTGTCTCAAAAAAGACCAAAAAAAGAGAAAGAATTTGAAAGTTTGTTATTCTTGTTACACAATTGCTGCCCCAGATTTGAGATGATTAGATCAAAGGACACATTGTTTAACCGTGATTTCTGCAGCCCCTTGATCCAACTCCAGTCTGACAGCCCACTGACTCGGCCCTTCCTTGCAGGCCCCGGGTGGCGCTTGGAGAAAAACTGCTGATCCGCGTGGTTTTTCTGCCACCTCCAGACAATTCCTGAATTGGTTCGAAACACATTAATGATTCCTAACTTTCATTGACTTTTGTTTTTATTTTTACACCTTTTCCCCATTACATCTCTACCTTATTTCATCTCTACAGTCAAGCCCGACCCAGGGGCAGCCTTCCAGAAAACATGATGTTTTCAGCAAACTGGGTTTCCCAGCAAACACGCCCACACTAAAGGCAGGAAACCACAACAAGGCGTGTTTTCCTCGGACAAACAACAGGATGTTACGAAGCGAAGCTCAGGA